CCCGCTCCTCAGTGAGCCCCCAGAGAAAAGCAGTCAGTCACTCCCATCTCCTGGTCTCCGGCCGCACTCTGCTCACCCGGCCTGTGACCGAGCGTTTCTATCTCTGGCACCTGACCCTGTGTGGAGTCTCCAAACCCAGCAGATCCCTGCAGTGCACTCCCGCACTGCTCCTCCCAGGGCAGGAAGGGGCGTCTCCCCGGATCTGCCACTTGATGGGTCCCTGCTGGAAGAGCAGTGGCCCGACTGTACCACGGATCACAGTTTATGGCAACCCCGAGGTGAGAGCCCGCTCCTCGGCTCCGTCTCTGCAGCCGGCTTCCCTGCTCCGATACCTGGGAGCTCTGCCACACTCAGGCACCCCGGGTCCTTCTGTGACCCCAAGGGTCCCGAGACCACACTGTCCCAGTGAGTCTTCCATCCCCCGCTTAGCCACTGGAGTGATGTCCCTCAGCAGAGCCGACTTCTAAAAGTTCCAATTTTGTGCTCCGCTGCTCTATCACTTGCCAGTAGCAGCTGACAGAGGCCCCCTCCCCCGCCGTCTATCCTCCCGAATATCACCTCGGACTCACTTCTCTGCATGTCCTACCTTCCAGAATGTGGTCACTTTTCTGTTCAGAGAGTTGCTGCCATTCTTTTCTTTGATCTCCTGTTGAGTTTGTAGGTGTTCAGAATGGTTTGATACCTATCTAGCTGAATTCCTGGGACCAGACGAAATTTAGGTCTCCTATTCCTCTGCCATCTTGCCGCCACCCTCCAAAAAGTTGCCTTCTTTTTTTTTTTTTAAAGATTTATTTATTTATTTATTTGAGAGAGTGAGAATTAGAGAGAGAGTACATGAGAGGGTGGAGGGTCAGAGGGAGAAGCAGACTCCCCACTGAGCAGGGAGCCCAATGTGGGACTTGATCCCATGACTCCAGGATCATGACCTGAGCTGAAGGCAGTCGCCCAACCAACTGAGCCACCCAGATTCCCCCGAAAAGTTGCCTTCTTAAGAAAAATGTAAAGTTGTCTAACTGGAGAGCCTGAAAACCTAGAGTAAAACCTAGGGTAAAACCTAGCCCTTAAACAAAGAGTACTGAACCTCTTTTTGTTCAATTCTCTTTGTGTCTCAATTTCTTTTTTATAAGAACCCAATGAATAGTCAAATCTGTCTCTAGGCAGAGACATTCATAAAATGGGTAATGTCTCTATCATATCCTTGCCAGGTGGGCAAATAATTTATCTCAGCGTTCTTTCCTTTTGCTTGCCTTGAATATTCTCATCTAGTTCTGAATGTTGAATTGTGATTTTTCTATAAGCAACTGAAGTGAGAGGCAAAGTGAATGGATTGTCCTGGTTCAGAAAGCAAGCAGGATTAGAAAACACTCAAGCTTAATTTGAATAGTAGATACTATTTTTACATGATAATTTTTCAAAATTATTTATCATACATAAAACATAACCAACGAAATTTTGAATTTAATGCATAAAGCCATTAATTTTTCAAACACCCCTTTATAACCACATTATGGGTTAAAAGACGTATGGTAGATTTGAAAATGAATTCTTTTTTTAAAAAAAGATTGATTTATTTTAGAGAGAGAGAGAGACAGGGGAGGGGCAGAGGAAGAAAGAGTCGTAAGCAGACTCCACATTGAGCACAGAGACTCGGGGCTCGATCTCTCAACCCTGAGACCAGGACCTGAGCCGAAACCAAGAGTCAGATGCTTAACTGACTGCGCCACCCAGGGGCCCTGAATATGAATTCTTGATATCAGAGGTTGCAAAGGTAGCTGAATACAACCTACATATACAGATGGTCCTTGACTTAGGATGGTTCCACTTAAGATTTTTCAACTTCAGGGTGATGCCAAAGTGATACACATTCAGTAGAAACTGTATTTCAGATTTTGAATTTTGACCTTTTCCCAGGCTAAAGATATGTGTTACAATACTCTTCTGTGATGCTAAGCAGTGGTAGCTGCTGCTTCCAGTCAGCCACATGGTCGTGAGTGTAAACAACCTATACACTGACAACCATTCTGTACCTTCCAAGCAGTCTGCTTTTTACCTTCATTTTAGTATTCAACAAGTTACTTGAGATATTCACCACTTTATTATAAAATAGGCCTTGTATTAGATGATTTTGCCCAACTGTGAGTTGGCAACTAATGCAGTTTGCCCAAATAATGTATGTGTTCTGAGCACATTTATGGTAGGTTAGGCTAAGCTATGATGTTCAGTAGATTAGGGGTATTAAATGCATTTTGACTTAGGATATTTGTTTATTGGGACATAACCCCATCATAAATAGAGGAAGATTTATATGTTTATTTTGGCCCCCATTGATTTTTATTTGAATTAATTGCCAAATTTTCATATTTGAGAGATTTCTCATAAATATCCAGGTTATGATAGTCTCTTGAAATTTTGGAGCCAGAATTCTCAACAAACTCTCTTGGCTGGAACTGAGTGTCACCTACACCACCTAGAGGAGGGAACACACTTTCCCATTTGCCATAGTCCCCCACCTGGCCACAGCTCATTTGCCTGGTCCTGCCAGTGTTCAAATGTATAATTCCTGCTTTAGATATTAACTTTGAAAATTTTAGAAAATTCCTATGTACTTAATTTATAACTGCATTATTGTCCTTTTGTGATATATATTTTTAAATCTACTCTTTGGCGTTTATCTGGTTTGTTTGCTTGTTTGTTTTTTACAAGTTATAATACTTCCCCACCTTTTTTATCACCAATATGTAATAGTTATATCAGTGACTAGTTTTTGTTCATTTGATTATTCTGATTTCTCTTTTTTCTAAAGGTCAGTAAAACTACCTATGGAAGACGGATCATTTTTTGATGAAACAGATGTAATTTTCCCCACCTCGTTGCCCAAGGATCTTATCTATGGACCTGTGCTCCCACTGTCAGCCATTGCTGGGCTAGTAGGAGAAGAGGCAGAAACTTTCAGGGTAATTACCTGGCACCTCTTCCTGTTTGCTTATTTGATTCTCATAACCATCCATGAGACATGCAGGATAGAGAGGATCATCCTGGTTTTCAATACAGATTAGCCCTGGAGATGACAAGAAATGAAGGCTCTGGAGTTTTGAGTTTGGTTAACTGGAAGGATGGCACTGATAACAGAAAGAGGGAGCCCAGACCTGATTTCAGTTTTGGACATATTGAATTTGGGGTGCTGGGAAGGCGTCCAGGTATAGATGCCGGGTGGAAGTTGGGCAAGCGGACCTATTGCTGGGGTGGAGAAGGTAGGGCTAGAGACACTGATGCCAGAGTCATTACCATAGAAGGGTTAGTGGAGCACTGGAGTGGGGGAGGGATGATAGAAAGGAGAGTAAGGGTGTCAGGGGAGAGAGCCAGAGAGGAAACTGATTTGCCAAGAATCGAGAGTTAGAAGATGACTCTGACAAGGAACACAGAAGTGGAACAAATCCAGGAGAGAAGAAGAAGGCCATGGAAAATAGTGGAAGAAAGTTTCAAACAGGAGTTTGTTAACAGCTACACACTCATTCATTCAACATATTTATCAAGCTCCTCCTATGTAGCAGGCACTGTTTTAGACAGTGGGATCTCATGATGACCAACCAGGCATAATCTCTACCCTTGGAGCTTACATTCTATCAGGGAGATAGTAACAACACCACCAAAAGTAAAGACATACATTAAATCATTGCAAAATGTGGTAATTATTATAATGGGATAAATGGGAGGGGGTTGACGTGAGGAAGAGATTAACATATGCTGGTCAAGGAAGGCCGCTGGGGAGACAACACTTACCCTAAGATTCGAAGGACAAGGAGGCTCAGTGCTACAAACAGGGTCAAGAGTGTTCAGGCAGAGGGTGCACTATGTGCAAAAGCCCTGGGGGAAAGAAACGAAGTCCGTGTGTTTGAGAAGCTACCTGTAGTGGCTGCAGCACAGAAAATGAGGGGGGAGTGGGGTGCAGGTGCAGGTCAGGGGGTAGGCAGGGAGCAGAGATAGCACAGGCAGGTCCTTTGGGAAACAAGAGCTTGATTCTGCTTAGCCTTTCGAACTTTATGCTAATATTTGTGTTAAAACTCCAAGCCAAGGATAAAGGAAGTAGAAGCTCCCAAATATTTTGACCACTGCAGAGAATTAAGCTATAGATGCTAAAAATAACTCAGTGGTAATTAGTTTATTAAAAATTTCTGGCAAGCAAGAGAAAAGGTTGTGTATGCTCTTAGTATTTCCTCTAAAGGATGATCATTGTTCACTTTTTAAATACAGAAAATGACCAACTCTTTTTAATAGCACAAATCCTAGCCTTAGAAATACAACCACACTCAGCCACAATGGGGCAGCAAAGTAAATACAAATAGATCAGCCATCAAGGTTTACAACTTGAAAAAAATGCTGCTGTGGTTAGTATTTGATGCCTAGGAACCCACATTTTCAACCATCTAGAATCTTTTCTTCTGCCATAAATTTCTGTAAGAGCCCTTGTCTTTCACATTTTGCACAACAGAATGAACCCTACCTAAAATATGTAAAATTCAGGCATCTGTCTTTGTCATTTGAAAAATGCTACAAAATGCCTTCTTTAAATACTTAAATGTGGAGCCACCATTTTTTAAAATGCTCGTAATAAACAGACATATTTGTTTCCTAGGATTTTTTTACTCAGTGCATTTTAACCTTTTTCTGAAAACAAATTTAATGCTAAAGTTCTACATTTTAAAATCACACAAGGAATGTTAATAAAGCCATATACTTTACATTTACTTACAAATTCATTTTTCCAATATTTATTTTTTCATCTTATAGATAAGTAAGGTGAAAAAAATGGCTAAAACATTGATTAATGTCTATACAATGAGTGAAAGCATAACCAAAAATAGATCTCAAATGTCTTTATTCTATTCCTTCCTTTGAATGACATTTCTTATGATGTGGCTACCAACCAATGGCAAAGAAATGAGTAATGAACTGATCTATATAAATAAGAGTCTTAAAAATTGACAGGCTATGGACTTTTACAAAATCACAAATATTAAATACTCCCATTATGTCTCTTGTAGCTAACACTATAAAGGCACATTATACACCTTTAAATAGGCCTGCATCACATTACACAACTTATTTAAGGCATGAGAAACAGTATCTAGCAGTAGCATGGGGGAAATCAAAGGCAGATATTATCTGGGCAGAAACTGGATCCAAGATAATGAATTTAATCTCAAGTGTCCAGTTTTCTTTTTCCATCTACCTTTTTTTTTTTTAAACAGAAGTCACTATATAGGAATTCCTTTTATAAACAAGTATTCTGAAACATATTTGGATACTTACATTTTTTAAAGCCATAATATTAAGTTGGATTCTAATTTTTCATGTTTGGTCTTCAAGTGATCAAAATGTTTGATTTATGATTCCAGAAAGCTAAACAATGAGGTGATATTATCAACAAATATTTTTATACTATTGGCACATTTTTCTTTTAAAATTTTTAGAATTTTTGAAATTAAAAACTATTGTTTCTGTTCACATAATCCATATTGTATCACATTTATTTTTAAGTGGCACAGAACATATTTATTGATGAAAGAGAGTAATAGAAAGATAAGCCCAGGTTTATCTTAAAGTAAGAAAAGTCAAACACAATACTAGTTTAACATAATAAGGCAGAAAAGTTCAAGTTTTAAATCTTCACCTTCTGTTGCATACACATAGGTCCACTGGTGTGAGAACAAGATATGTGTGTTTTTAAAAAGATTTTTGAACCTATTGCCATAATGGAAGAGTCTGTCCCTTTGTGATATATAGCCTAAGGTTAAATGTCATCAAGACAACCTAAGAAACTTTTAAATAATGGTGATTAAATAATGGCATTCAGTGAGTAACTCTTCCCTATGAGTCAAATCTCAATTAGATACTACAAAAATGTCATTAATCAGCAGCAGTTTAATCCTTTTGGGTGGTTTTGCACCCCCCCCTTTTTGGCCCATAGGGTGGCCACATTATTAATCAAGTATTTATTTTCTAACAGTCCAAGGCTATGAGGGCATGAAATAGATCAATCATTGACCAAAGTCAATATATCCTTTTAAAGAATTATCATGGTGACTGCTGCTATGTATGGTTTTTGCCTTAGGCATATTTCAGGTTCCATTCCAAATGATAAGTCTCTCTCCACACTTCCTTCACTCCACCAGGAAGAACCACGTGCTTTCTCATCAATGCTCCCATAATATTTAACACCCCTCTGCTATAACCTACCATGTTTTCTGATTCTGATATTTGTTGATACTTCTTCTTCCCTCAACAAGTGATCATCCTATTGAGAAGAGGGATCCCTTAGGACTTGGCACAATGCCTGGTATATAACCAACATCCAATAAATGTTTGTTTAAATATCAATTACATAACAAATTTATATCTGTTGAGAATCTAGTAGAAATAGTTACTTTGACAGCACCACACCTGCTTTACCTTGAATCTACAAACCAGTCCTAAATTAAAAGAATAGTATATAATACATTATTCAAATAAATGAGTATTTATTAGAAAGGTGGCTTGCATATATTGAGGACTTTTTAATGGAAAAACGACTGTTTATATAGATTTGCAGTATTCCCCAACTTCTGCTTTATTTTTCTCCATAGTGCTTTTCAACATATAATCTTCTATATATTTAACTTCTTAACTTATTTTTATTCTGTTTCCCCTCACCAGGATGTAAGCCCCATGAGGGCAGGGAATTTTTTGTCTGTTTTGTTCACTGCTACATGCCTGTGCCTAGAACAGCACCTGGAATGTAGTTAAGTGTCCAATAAATATTTGTTAGATGAACGAAAACATGAACAAAAGAATGCAATAAACATGGAGCTCTCAAGGAACTTAAAAAATTCTGTTAATTTGGCCAATAGCTTAGTAAAAATGTTTTCTGTTCCAATGGGTGTAAGGATCCTAAAGAAAGCAAAGCATTATGTTATAGCTAATGTAATTCTAAATAATGCTATAGCATAACAAAAAGCCCAGATACTACTAAATGTTATGTTCTCAATATAAATAAATAAGTAAACTAGTATGTTTGACTTGTTTAAATAGAAAGGAAGGAGTGCTATTATTATGATATCCTGAATTCAGAATTTTAATCAGTGCTGTGAGGAGCATATGCCCTAAAAAGCTGCCACAGCTGCCTTGACCTCCAGGAAGGAGAACAGGTAGGCCTATATTTAAAAGGAGACTTGCTCCATGCTGACAAAGGGGGCTCTCCCCTGCTGGACATAAGTATTTAAAGCTGCAGGGGACATACCACTGAGGTATTACAATCTAAAGCAGAGATCAACAAACCATGACAGGCTTTTGTTTGGCCCCAAGCTAAGAATGTTCTTTTATACTTTTTTACAGAGGTGTTTAAAAATATAATGGGGATATATGTCAGAGACCTATGTGGTCCACAAAGCCTAAAATATTCACTGCCTTTTCCTTTACAGGAAAAGTTTGTCTTAGATCCTTAGAAACCTATGCGTTTCTCTTTGAGTTTTCCATGGTATCAAAATCACGTAGGATGTTTCATGAACCACGTTAGAGAGGCCACCAGAATCAGGCAAGTGTCCTCTTCTCATTTCCCATAAAAGCTAACTAAGCAAAGGACCTAGGCCAAACTCTCCATAGCCACTCAAGGAAAATCATATCCACACCCCACTGCAGAATCAGGAGGGTGAAACGATGACAAAAGTCTTCCTCAAAAAGGGTGATCTTAGCTAGACACTGACTTTCGTAGATTCAAGACACCAAAAAACTCTACCAAGAAACAGTGTAGAAGTTACTACTCAAAATTTTCATGAAAATCTGTGACACTAGAACTCTAAATGTGCTGGCAAAACCATCTTATATAGTCTTACTGAATTAAAATATAGAGAGATAAATGGAGCAAGGAAGGATAAGTACACTTAGCTCTTGGCAAATGGCAGGATCAATGAATATACATAGGTCCATAATCATTTGTTTCTTTCTGGAAGTTATTCTGTTGGGTATTTCTCTGGCTCTTAAACCATGCATGTGGTCTTAACACAAGGTTTCTGATCTTTCCCTGAAGCCTAAAGATGATCTATATCCTTTGCTTCACCCATCTATGCACTGCTGGACTCCAACAAGTGACCTATATGTTGGCTGTGAAGAGGGTCATCTTTTAATGGTTAATGGAGAAACCTTGAAGGTGACTCTACTTAATAAGATAGAAGACAAAGTACCAATGGGTGAGAAACTGCTTTACTTCATTATTCCTAGAAGTGTAGCCATTGGTGATGGTTTTACACGTGAAGATGGATGTTTGTTCCCTATTTTTCTCCTTCTTAGAGCCATCTTTGATTCTTTCTTTCCTTTATCCCATAGTTAGTTACCAAGTCCTGTGGGTGTTCCTCATAGCTAGTGCTTATTGACTACTAGGCTGTAGGCATTCTGCTATACTCTGTATGTATATTTCATGTAATCTTCAAAATACGTTATAAAGAGATATATTTTCATCTCCATGAGACAGATGAGAAAATGGAAGCATTGAGAGATTAAGAAAAATGCCCAAATTCACATAACTAGTAAACTGTGGAGCTGACACCTAAACCCAGGCACTAAGACTTTAGAGTCCAAGTTCTTAGCTCCTATGCTGTATCCTTTCACATTTTGATTTCTGCAGCAACCTTAGCACTGACTTCATTAGCCTTAATCTACAGCTAACCCAAAGCAGGCATCTCATCCCTGCCAAACTGTCCTTAAAGACTGTTTCAGCATGCAATTCAAGGGCTGCTCTGCCTTGATTCCAAGCCCTCTTTAATTTGATCCTCCTTCTCCATTCACACTCTTTCCTTCTACTCCCCAGGATGAGTTTTCTGATCTAGCTAGTCATTTCTTCCTGTCATTTCACAGACCTGCCTCCTAGCTCACTCCCTTGCCAATTGACTCTCTGAATCCTTGAGCTTCTAGCTCAACACCACCTCCTACAGCAAGTTTCCCCCAGGACAGTACCCCTCGTCTAGTCCTGCTCCCATTCCCTGACTCAGACTTCACTGGGGCCATTAGGTTTGACTTTCCTGCCCCCGCCGTGGCTTCCCTTTACTGTCACTTGGACCCTCCAGGCTATGTTCTCTCTAACCTTGCATCCACACTGCCATCCCAACCTTAGGGCAAAAGTTCGGTGCCCCTCTGTGGGATCCATCAGACTCACTCCCTTGTTAGAGCCTCATCCTGTGCTTTCACAATTTCCTTTGTGCATGTCTGTCTTCCCACCAGGTATCTTCTTTAAAGTCAGGAACTATGTTTTACTTATCCTTTGGCTCCAAAGTTTAATCCCAGAGATTGCTGCAGAGTAAATTACTGCCTATATGTGTTTGTAAAGTGATTCAAAAGCAATGTTTCTCATTTCCAAACTGTTGTCACATCTGTAATATGTTATACACAATTTAGGACTTAATCATGTATAGTTATATATTGTTTACTATTTCCTTCTTCTATACTATTCCTAATAATTTTCATGGTATTTTATAAATGCTTTAGTATAAATATTTGTCTAACCTCTACAATGTGGAAGACACTAAGCAAGGTGCCTCAGAGGTGACATAAATGGCAAATATATGATCTTATAATTTTCACCCTCAAGGGATTTATATTTTATTAAAGAGAATTAAACAAGTAGATAATTATAGCCAGGTAGATTAAGATAATTTTATTAAAGCAAAACTTAAGAAAGTGCTATAGGAATTCAAATGAGGGAAACAGGCCAAGTTAAGTCATTTTGAAGGTGGATTTGAAATCGCCCTTGCAGGATGGGTTCACAGGCAGATGAGGGTAGGTTGAGTTTCGGTCAATGGCATCTGCAGAGACAAGAAAAACTGGGGAAGGTTGAGACACAAGAAGTGGTCCGGTCTGTCTGGAGCATGGAGTGTTACACAGGGCTGGTGGGGAACAAAGGGACATATATGCCATGTCTGACCTTGAATGTCCAGCTAAGATGTTTATACTCAATTCAGCTGATAGTGGACAGACCTCAAAAACTCCTGAATGGGGATGTACCCCGAATAGAATTGTGCATGGGCAGATTATTTTAGCCATCATTCAAGAAAGGACGATCCTAGAAGCAGGTGGCTATAAGCATCCAGCTCCTAGACTACGCCTTGAGTCATAAGAACCTGGACTCTAGTGGTACTTGGATTGGAAAAGAAGGAACTGCTGGGAAGTAAATAGTCTGAAGGAAAGGACAGTATGCTTCTTAGCATCTGGCAAAATGCCAAGATGTAGTATACAGTAAATAAATAATTTGATGGATGCTCTCTGAGCTTTTGATCTTATAATTCTCATGGTTTATCTACATAAAAGGTAATATTCTTTTGTTCTTTTCCCCCAAGGACAATATTTTATTAATAACAATTATTCTTATAGAACATTTTTTCTTTTTACTTTCTTTTTATCCACTTTTATTTATTTACTGAGGTTTGAATTTACATACCATAAAATGTACAAATCTTAAGTATGGAGCTTGATAATAAGTTAGGTTTGGTTTTATTTTTTTCCTGACATCTTAAAATCTCTGACAATGCTTTCCTAAAATAAGAAAATATATTAGCTATATAATTCTATAATGTTAGTTACACAGATCTGATGATACAGAACTTTAAAAAACTCATGTGATTTACATTAATAATCAATGCTGAGCAGCTTTTATTATTCATTGTTTGGAAAGCATAATAGCACATATTCTGATAGGAAGTTGATTTTTGGAAAGGATTACAGAGAAATGAATAGTCCTAGGAAAGCAAGAGATTAATTACTTTGTATTGCACTTTTAATTGTATGTCACCTGTTTTACCTTGTTTTTCTTTTCCAAAAGAGGGAAGAAATCTTATCAGTCCAGTCACCATGGTATATCAGAAGGGAGGAGTGCTCATTTCTGGAATTGTAATGTATTTTTTTCTTCAAAATTAATTGCTTTCAAGAATATATACAATTTCCATTTGCTGCTACTTACTATTATGAGTCATAATTTGGGATGTCAGGTTCTTTCAGATTATTAATTAAAATTGTTTTCTTTTTTGATACAATTATAAAACTCTTTATATGGATAATTTTTCAAATATATATAAAAGTAGAGAGAACAGTATAATGGACTGCCATATATCTAGACTATTGCAAATAATCAAAAATAGAATTAAAAACTCAGAACACCTAATATCTGTCACCCAACTTCATGCCTGTTTGTACACTTAATACATTGGGTTGTCAGACACAAATAGAACCTTTTGTCTAAGCTTCAGCTTAGCCCCTTGTGTATACTCATTTAGCTTACATGTATTACACTGTTATTGTTCATATTAGAATTAGCATTAATGGCCTTCATTTACTTGGTACTTACTTTGTACCAGGCATCATGCTAAGTGCTTTGCTTGTATTATCTCATCAGTTCTCATAATGACACTGTCAAGTAGGAATATTGACATTCTCCTTATACAGAGGAAGGAGCCAAGCCTTACAGAGTTCACCAGCCAGTAAATGGAGTTGCTGAGGCTTGAACCCAGATGTGTCAAACTCCAAAGTCTTTGCTCTCATTTATTAGAGCATGCAGCCTCAGTTAAGTATGAAAAGGGGTCAGACTACATTGCTTTTCCATGGTGTTGTATCAGTGCTAAGGTTCGGAGCCTACCTACACTAAAATCTCAGGTCTACTGGTAGATGTCCCAAGACATCTGTTAGTGGGACTGTTAGCTTTTTCTCTTCCATTGCTACAGATCACATTTCCAGGACCCTGAGGGCAGTTAGGCCATGATGTCAGGGTGAGAGATGTAGCTCCACCAATGAGAAGCAATCTGGAGCTCATAAACCTACACTCAGGTGGTAATCCATCCCCCTCCCCTGGAACCTTGCAACAGACTATCCTCTCCCCCAGCACCCTCCACCCCCGCCACCCCACCTCCTACATTTAGTCTGCATTTATGGCCTTTTATGACTTTTGTCCTTCTCAAGGCCACCCTTGGCATTTTTTACTTTTATTTTCATTTATTTTTATTTTTTTCAGAGAGAGAGAGCATGAGCAGGGAGGGGCAGAGGGAGGAGGAGAGAGAGAATCTTAAGCAGTCCCTACACTCAGTGCAGAACCCAGCACAGGGCTCCATCTCATGACCCTGAGACCATGACCTGAGCTGAAATCAAGAGTCAGGTGCTAAACAAGCTGAGCCACCCAGGCAACCCTCACCCTTGACATTTTTTAAAACCTAGTTTAGGGCGCCTGGGTGGCTCAGTTGGTTAAGCGACTGCCTTCGGCTCAGGTCATGATCCTGGAGTCCCGGGATCGAGTCCCATATCGGGCTCCTTGCTCGGCAGGGGGTCTGCTTCTCCCTCTGACCCTCCCCCCTCTCGTGTGCTCTCTCTCTCTCATTCTCTCTCTCAAATAAATGGGTAAAATCTTTAAAAAAAAAAAAAAACCTAGTTTAGGGGCACCTGGCTGACTCAGTCAGTAGAGCATGTGACTCTTGATATTGGGGTTGTAAGTTCAAGCCCCACATTGAGGGTAGAGATTACTTAAAAAATAAAATTAAAAAAAAAAACAACTAGTTTAAAGGAGTGGTTGGAGCATGTACTCCATGAGAAATGGAGAATGATGATGAGTTTGGAGAAAGCACCTTGCATGTTTTACCCCCAGTTCCCAAGTATGTGAACCCAGCCATCTCACTAATGCATATACTCTAGTTATAGTGAGATCCAATCTAGAAATGATGGATTAATTTGCCCAAAGCCTCTTCACTACTGTGAAAACAGCTCAAATTCCTCTTGAGAATAGTTAAATGAACCTAAATCTGTTTACAGCCAACCAACCAACTGATTTTTACAGGATACTTGCCCTCTTTCTAGCACTGTGAAAGAAACACAAAAGGAGGATATAAAGGAAATAAACAGCACACTCCCTACCTTTGGGTCATTTAGGGACAAAAGAAATGTATATAATAATGATTAAATAATATATATTAAGGCTAGTGTTCCTTGAAGTAAGGAGACTGCTATATATATATATACAAGCCACATAATGAACTGCTTCATTTGCCCTACCCTCCTGTATAATGAAGAAAGTGGTAAAAAGATAGATGCTAGATGGATGGAACTAGAGGGTGTTATGCTAAGCGAAATTAGTCAGTCAGAGAAAGACAAATACCATATGATTTCACTCATATGTGGAATTTAAGAAACAAAACAGATGAACATAGGGGAAGGGAAGGAAAAATAAAATAAGATGAAAATTGAGAAGGAGGCAAGCCATAAGAGACACTGAAGGAAACAAACAGCATTGCTGGAGGAGAGGTGGAAGGGGGAAAGGGATAATTGGGTGATGGGCATTAAGAAGGCACTTGATGTAATGAGCACCAGGTGTTATATGCAACAGATGAATCACTAAATTCTACCCCTGAAACTAATAAAAAAATTTCTAACTTCATTAAAGAAGACATTACTTGGGGGAAAAAAAGATAGATGCTAGAGAAATTCAAAGAAAGGAGAGATCCATAAAATTTTAGGTCACAGAATTTTGTGTCACAAGAGATAAAATTGAAATGACCAGGAAGGGTGGTTAAAAGTTGCCTAAATAAAGATAAGACAGGGCATTCTAGATAATGTAAGCATTGATGATGTTTCCAAAAATAAACTGTGGATGGTAGTCAATAAGTCTTAGCTTGTTTGACATGGAAAGTATACTCTGCATTGACTGAGACTGATTTTCTTTGTTTATCTCATTGTTTTGGTCACTAGGATGGCTTTGTGTATTCTTTTACTATTAAAGATTCAACTTACAAAGTAGAGGATTTTCTTGAGATTGAAGAGCCTGTGGCACATATGATGTTTTCTCCAAATTACCACATGTTGCTGATTCAAACAGACAAGGTATGCTAGATGGTGATTTCTTGATATACAGTTTTCAAATATTATTATCATTGCACTGCAGGAATGAAGGGCATAGTGCTACATAGTGATACTGTACTAGTCAGGACTCCTTTGGTTACAAATGAAAAAATACCTAACTTAAAAAGTCTAAATAACAAAAAGTGTTTATTTATTCATTTGTTTATTTTTGTGCATGTAACTAAAAGGGCAATGAGTTAATCTGAATCCAGGGACTCCCATGATGCTGCTGACCTTGTTTTGTGACCATCTCTTGGCTCTCTTTCCTCTCTGTTGTCACCCTTCCCATGCAGATTCTCCTGTGAGGTGTCCAGAGAGCCTCCTGCAACTCTAGTTTATATTTCTACCCTCATGGTGACCCTAGTGGAAAGACACCATGAAAAAATGTCCTGGAATTTAGATTCATTGTACTTACTTGGGTCACTCTCTACCCCTGTGGCAATTACTATGTCCAGGAGGATTCTAAGCTGTCATTGGCCAGGCCTAAGTCACATGCCTACACTTGTAGAGTCAACCCAACCAAACATGGACTGAGACTAGGGTCATAGATAGTTCTCTAAGGAAAATCTGGGTTCTGTAAAAGAAGAGAAGGGGAATAAATGCAGGATAAAATGAAATGTCCATCTCAATTACACTGTTAGAAAGACTCCTAATTAATGGAATGACTCTCAAAAGTCAGGGTTAGCAGTAGTTTATATTGTTAGGCAATGACTTTAGATGGATTTTAAGAAAAGATCAATGATCTTCTGCCTAAAGGAAACTTAAGTTTAAATATGGAAAGATTTCATTTGCTGGTAAATACCTGAAGTTAAAACAACTGTGCTGTTTTAATAAATAACAAATAAATGACAATCCTAAAATATCTATGGAGAACAGGAAACACCAAAAAAATATAACAGAAGGGAGAAAGACTGAAATAGAACTTCTTCAAAAGAGAAAATATATTTAAAAAGTAAAAAATAAATATGTCTGACAGACGATTGGACACAGCCGAAGAGAGAATTAGTGAACTGGAGATAGATCAAAAGAAGTTATCTAGAGTGTAGCCTGGATATACAGAAGGGAGCTTAAAAGACATGAATGATACAGTGTATGTTGGACTGGAACCTCAGAGAGGAGAGAGAGTGGGGTAAGACAATATTTAAAGAGATATTTTCCAGAACTGATGAAGACATGAATTTACAGATTCAAGAGGTCCACTGAATCTCAAGCAGAATACCTAAAAAGATAGCCACACTTAGACTTAACAAAGTGAAACTGTTGAAAATCAAAGACAGAAAATCCTAAAAGCAATCAGAAAGAAAAACAGATTATTTCAAAGGAATTTCAACTAGATTAACAGCTGACTTGTCTGTGGCAATAATATAAGTAAGAAATAGTGGAAAGCTACCTTCCATGTAGAGCAGGAGGGATCAGAAAACTATGGCCCTGTAGGCCAAAACCAGCCTGCTGCTTGTTTTTACAAATCAAGTTTTATTGGAACACAGTCACACCCATTAATTTACGTATTGTCTATGGCTGCGTTCACACTACAATGGTAGAATTAAGTAGTTGTGAGAGATCACATGGCCAGCAAAGCCTAACATATTTACTATCTGTCTACTTATAGAAAAAGTATGCTGATGTAATGAAATAAGCTAACTACCACCTGGAATTCTATACCCAGTGAGTATACTTTTCAGTGTAGGGGTGAAAAAAGAAATTTTTAGACGCTCCAAAACTGAGTTTGTCAGCAACAAACCATTACTAGAGAAAATTCTAAAGAATGTACTTCAGGGAGAAGGAAAGATGGCAGAGGAGTAGGGGACCCTATTTCAACTGGTCCCTGGAATTGAGCTGGATATCTACCAGACCACTCTGAGTATCCACGAAACCAGCCTGAGATGTAAGAAGATCTGGATCTCTACAAGCAGAATATTGCAGGCAGTTGGTTTTGAGGTACGAATTGGGGAGCCCTGATTCCACGGGCAGATATCAGAGGATAAATGGCAGCGGGAGGGTGCCTGGCCGTGGGGATCCTACACCGCCAGGGAGCGACAGCCTCGCGCGCTGGGGACGGGGCACAGACTCACAGACCGGTAGCGCCGGGAAAGGACTTTAGGGCACCTCAGGGGCGGAAACCCAGAGTGGCAGGGTCACGCGGGCAAACTGGGAGCGGCTGGTGGTTTTAGAAGCACAAAGGGCAGAGACGTGCCCCAACCTGGAGGCAGGACTGGGGGCGCTGCGGAGGGGCGCACAACCCAGGACATTGCAGTTTATAGCAGCACGGACAGAAATGGAGACCGTGTGGCCTGGAGA